GAGTGGTTTGCTGCTACCTTAGCTAATGATCTCTGCTGCTCTGCCTAGCTCCATATTTGTGACATGAGGCAAGCAGTCATATACTGGCTAGATGATATCTTTTTTTGATGCTGACATTCACAAGTATTTCAGAAATGCAACCCCTGCCCCCAAATGATTGTGTACATTATCTTAATAGCTGTGCAGTACATTGTTGAAATCTACTTTTGCCTGGATGACGGGATTACAGTTGAGTCATTCAGGAAATTATTGAAGAGAACAAAAGTGTTGAGAACAGAACAAAAAAGAAAACCTTTTCAGTGTGAAACATCATGGTTGAAAAATAGTGGCAGAGTGGGAGTCTCTCAAATTGTGTTGTGTGGAAGTTTTGTGTGTTTTGAATCCACTCCACATTTCAAGAATCCCTAAGCAGTTACACATTTTAGTGATAAAGAATTTTATTTTAAAATAGGTTCACTATATTTTAATTGGTAGATATATGTACGTGTGTGTCTGTCGCTCTCATTTTATGCTAATATATCAAATAAGAATCTTATTTTCTAATCAACTACGAGAAAACATACCTTTTTCTGAAAGTGTTCTGTAAAGATGCTATAAATCTCAAAATGTCATATCCTGTTTCATTCAGAGAAAGACTAGGACTGTGAGAATAGGAAAAAGGAGAAATAAATACTGCAGAATATAACCCTATAGAATTTCCTCTGCCAGTGCCATGGAAGAATGGCATGGGGGTGGCTATAAATTCTGGCAGGAGTTGCTGGAGACCTTTGAAAACTAAAGATCGAATCAGTAGGGGGTCATCCGAAACAAATATGCAATGGGAAGAAACTCCAAAAAGCCTCTGAACTGTTCAGAATACTCCCAGGGGGTTCAGAAAAGGAGAAACAGAGCAAGAACAAAAAGGGAGGGGAGATAAGAGTACAATGACTGTGGAAAGCAAAGTTCAATAGGAATTGTCAGTACTCAGCGGCTGGCAGCTATCAGAATCCAACCCACTGGGGAAAGAAGATGTCATTCCATTGTAAGCCACACAGGAGGGGCCGTGGAGGGAATATTGTTTCCAGAATCCTCTGGGCTCAAAGCCTGGAGCCAAGCAAGGAGAACAATACAAATAATTAAGGGAGTAGTGGAATTAGCTTACAGGGAATTCTTTCTACTTTTCTTCACCTGGTGAGATCAAATGTAGTATTAATTTCACATCAGATAGGTCTTCTATCAGGGAACTGTATCCTGTTCTGGCAAAAGATGATCTAGTAGATTTTTTCCATTCCCAACTTGGAGGATGTAACAAATTATGTATAGCTTGGGAAAGTGATGCATCGAGTCTGCTGCATCAGGGGCATATTTTGAAATATCTAAAATGAAAACACCTCAAAGGAAGAAAAGAAACCCAAAAAGTTGCATTACAAAAGGAAAAAAACAAAAACCTGCTTCCTTTGCATTTATCAACTTTAGGTCATTGGTGTTAAATTATTTCTGTCTTTATTATTTTATAAAAAAATTAGCTTATATTTTAAGCCCATTTTGAGTATCAAATACCATACCCAATTTGCAGGTGGAAGAATTGAGTCATTGAGAAGGTATTTCATTTGTGCTCAAATACAGAGCAAGTCAGTCAAAGAGACAAGAATATGACCCAGCTTTCTGGCCAATGGAATAAAAACAGAGAGCTATAGGTCTACATACTTTTTAAAAATCAAATTTAAGTTATAAATAATTTTTCTTATGATTATAATTTAGTCTGTAATTTGTCACTCAAATATTACTGCCCTACAATTATATTAATGAAACATCTCTAATCGTCTTATTATTAGTGTAATGCATGCCACAGTTGACAAAGCACTCCTCTTATACTTCCTTGTTGGTGCACATTAATGATTAAATACTTGACATGTTTTCAGGCTGCTTTGGTTCCTGTCAATATTTGCTGTCAAAAAAAAAAAAAAATTAGGTTCCTGATTTCTTGAGTGATATTTTAAAAGAAGAAAGAATGTCAAGCCAGCGAGTTAATGGCTCATTTCTCAATGTGGCTTTTCTTTGGTACCTATTATGAAATTATCCATTTTATGTGTCCCTTTTTGAAGGCTAGCCTCAAAGTATAAGTCTGCAATTTTACAACTGGTTTACAGAATTTTAAAGCTGGTTAAAGCTATCTCTGGCCAAGTGAAAAGAGCTCTTTAGAGACTGATTTGGTAGAATGAAGAGGTCTGTCCCTTTAGTCAGGCAGCTGCAATTTGGAATCTTGGCTTTTCCTCGTACTATCTTTGTGACCTTGAGCAAATTAGCCTCTTTGAAGATCCATTTATTCATCTGTAAAATGAAGATGACAGATAATACTAACCTCAGAAGTGTGTGGTGAGAATGTAGGTGTTTGAACCCTCCACCTCTGGCTATTTTGCATTTTAGAAGTTCTTACGACATTTCACTTGAAGGAAAATGTCCACGGCTATGAGACTTAAAAACCACTGACACAGACTAACATTCTTATTACAAATAGAGACAATGAGATCCAGAGCAGTTGTCACTTTTTTAAGTACTGGGAACTTGTAGCAACAACTAGCATTGGGCTCTTTTCATTACTGCAAGCCACCCATGAACCATGAAGAGGTTACATGGGGGTGCATCGCTAAAATTAATCTCCAAACAGGAAAAGGTGGCCATCCCATAACATGTGCTTTACCTTATTATGTTATTCTGGATGACTTTTGCATGTTCCCTGGCTGAAAACACTCTACTAGAGAACATACATACTTGATTAAATGTAAGTTCAGCAATCAAGTCTTTCAGAAATAATATGTTAATCTGAACTCACCATTAGGAAGATGCCCCCGTAGATGCTTAATAAACAGGCTGGGGGTTATCTAACTAAGCTTTTATCTGGTTAACATTCTCCCAGATAGTCCCTATACTGACTTTTCTCCTCTTTTGTGCAAACTGTAGTGATGAAAATAGTCCATTGGTCCAATACAGATAATCTTCTGTGAGTCTTATTTACATTGTTTTGATTTTATTTCAGGCCCCTATGATATTTCATCAAATCTTAGATACTGTTAATTGTAAATTATCATTATTTAATATTCTGCCAATAAATAAAGCAAATATGCCAATTAAAATTGTAGGATATCATCGGTTGTAAGACACATTCTGACTTCAGAGATAGTAAAAGAGGTGCATCTTGGAATTTATGAAGTATGACTCCTTATTTGCTACTATACTCGTATAAGACATATCTTTCCCTGTGTCTTGTTCCCCCCCTTCCCACTCTAGGCTATTACTCATATTTCCATTAAGCAGAAGAATAGCATAGAAAGCCCAGACTTAGGTTTTCCAAAATGCATTCCTCTAAAATTGTGCTGCATTTGTATTTTAACATATATTGTACTGATCAGAAATATGTACTGGCTTGTTGGCACCAAGAATGGCTCCACAATGAGATACCTCTCTTGCTATCTTCCACAGATACTTTGGATCTGTTCCTCTCTGTGGGATCAGCATTATTCTAGTAAGGTTGGGGAGTTCTAGGTAGGAAAAGTCACCTCCTGTTCTTGAAGAAAGCAGAACACAGACCCACCATGTTGCATGAACATGGATACTAGATACTTCCTGTATCATGGGTTGATAATTTCCCTGGCAACACAGCTCATACCAGGCAGCTCCAAATGGACCTTACCACATTTCGTAATAATTTCCTTTGATGTGGTGCCAAAATCTTCCAATTCGTGTCATAAGATAACAAAATATGTTGCTCCCTTTACTCAGACATCTTTTACATGCATAACATCAAAACGAAATTTCAACTTTTCAAACCTACATAAGGCAACACTTTATCTTCAGTGGAAAAGAAAAAACAGTGTTCTACTTTTACAAAAGTATTTAATGCTTGTTTTATGTGAGTAATACTGCTGGTTGAAGATGGTTTTGGTCTGCATTAAATATTTTTCCCTTTTGACATCAGATGAAATGTGGGCAAAATTCAAATTTACATATTCTCTTCCCAAGTTCAAATTACTCTGTCAATATATACCTTTACCTAATTTATTGTTTCGAGTATGCCATGTTTACTAGAAACTATCTTATCACTGATGGAGATTACTATCTTATCTTAATAAAGGACAAGAATTGATGAGCTGTGAGACAAAGGGAACTTGGCTTTCCAGCATCCTCCTAACTCTTTACTGACTCATAGGAGCAAGCTGGGGAAAAGGTAGAAAAGTGTCAATTCCAGAGACCTAAGGCGATGAAGCACAGGGCATTATAGAAAGAAGATGCCAAGCCGGGCTCGGTGGCTCAGCCTGTAATCCCGCGCCTTTGGGAGGCTGAGGTGAGTGGATTGCCTGAGCCCGCAGGTTCGAGACCCGCCTGGGCAGCGAGACCTCCTCTCTACAATAAATCAAAAAATCAGCCGGGCGTGGTAGCGCATGCCTGTAATTCCGGCTACTCGGAAGGCTGAGGCGGAAGGATCGCCGGAGCCCAGCAGGTCGAGGCTGCGGTGGCCGGGAGCGGCCACTGCACTCCTGTCTGGGTGAAAGAGTGAGACTCTAACTCAAAAAAAAAAAAAAAAAAAAAAGAAAGGAGATGCCCTAGGAAGTGTACGTGTCTCCCCCCACCCCACAGTGAGGGCTAAGATGTGAGATGGCTTCTGCAGATGCTCCTTTTTCCTTTCCTGTCATTATGTGTTCCTTCCTCATCCCAGAGAAAGGAAAATAATATTCACCACAGGAGGGCAACAGTCAGAAAAAACTGTCTTAAGTTCTTCCATCCAATAGGAAATTGTAAAATTACAGCGCAGACCTAAGGATGAGTACCAGAAATCTATAATAAATGGTAGTCAATTTTTCCTTTGCATATTTTTGTGCTGTCATTACAGCAATTTTCCTGAGATAAAAACCTTTGAAGATGTACTTTTCAGATGCGTTTTTTCCTCACAATGATTACCGTCTCAGAGTGTCATTGCAATTTCTTACTTTTCTTGAGCTAAACTACCCTATTTTCTCTTTCAGGCAAATATCAATATTCCAATGGGAGCATTTCGGCCAGGAGCTGGGCAACCCCCTAGAAGAAAAGAATGCACTCCTGAAATGGAGGAGGTGAGGAAAACAGCTAGCAGAGCTCTGTAATGTCTTTCCCTTCCAAAAGTCTCACTACAGGGGAGAAGAGGCAAGGCAAAGTCCAGCTGGCCAAGGCAAGGCAGGGGACAAATGACTGTGTGTCAAAGAATCATATATAGTATATACATTTCTTTAGTTGTTCAATCAGCCATGAATCCCTCTTCCTTCCCTTCAGCCAAATTTAAGTACTGTACCTGGCACTGTTACTTGAAAGTACTAAGTTTAACTTCCAGTCCGTTGACTGACTGTGTGTGACCCAGAGGACATAGCCTCTCAGATGTTTTTCGTCTAGTGATAGTTTTCACTCAGGAGCATTTATCAAACTGAGTAGGATGTATTTAGTACAGCTTCTGATAAGTGATGAATTTGAGTGGGAGTGCAGCACGCTAAGGGACATTAAATTACTTAGGGACTCAAACAAACAACACACTCACTCTGTGGATGTTTCCTTTGAAAAGAAGACTTTGCAAGGGAGACTATCAAGCCTCTATTTTCCCAAATTCAAGTACTTGGTCTGCTAAAATAGAGGCTAAAATTAATCTTGAATGCAATAAAGTGGGAAGAGTTCCCTCCCCAGACGTTTATATTTATTACCCAATTGTGATTTTTCTGAAACTCGAAAGGTCTGATTTTGAAGGAAAAAAAGCTAAGGTTTTGGAGCATTTTATTAGCACAAGACATGGAAAATGGAATTAAATAAAACTCCAAGGCATAGCAAACTGGATTTTATATTTAAAAAAAAATAAAAAGGTGATTTTAGCAGGTGACATTTTTGGTATTTGCCCCAAGGGAACATCTATTACATTTTCTAAGTTTCCTAATAAAATTTTGTCCTGCATCTAACTTTTTTTTTCCTGTGAATATTCCTGATATGGTTCTAAATTAGTAGTTCTAAACTGGGCTCGGTGGCTCAGCCTGTAATCCCATGCCTTTGGGAGGCTGAGGTGAGTGGATTGCATGAGTCCGTGGGTTCGAGACCCGCCTGGGCAGCGAGACATCATCTCTACAATAAATATAAAAAATCAGCCGGGCGTGGTAGCGCGTGCCTGTAGTTCCGGCTACTTGGAAGGCTGAGGCGGAAGGATCGCTGGAGCCCAGCAGGTTGAGACTGCGGTGGCCGGGAGCAGCCACTGCACTCCAGTCTGGGCGACCGAGTGAGACTCCAACTAAAAAAATAAAATAAAATAAAATAAATAAATAAATAAATAAATAAATTAGTAGTTCTAGTCTCCTATCAATAGAAAGATAATTTTTGAAAGGAGGAGATGGAGTATTTAAGTGACATCACCAAGTTCTGGAATTTCATCCACTAAGTCACCTTGATGAATACAAATTTTGAACACACAAGTTGAAAAGACCTGGCTTTTATGGTTGCGTAATTTTAAATTCAGGTGCTGCTAGCTTTGCCATCCAGTGAACTCATGATCATGAACTCACCTTTTGGGACTTTGGTCAAGTATTTCTGAGTCTGTGTCTGTAAAATGGGATCCCCACCATTCCCCAGAGTTTCACTGTGAGAGAAGTGTCAGTGATAGAATGGACATGGCACAGCCTAGTAGGTATTCCAAAAATGATTGCTCATTGATTGATCTAATTATCCAATTTTCATGAACAGCTCCTGGGCCTCTTGTTTTTGCATTATACCCCCATTTATCTGTAATTTGATTTTTTTTCCTGTGCTTCCTCTTAAGCTGTGTCTGTGACTACCATGGCAATTAGTCGTAAGGTAGCTTGACTCTCTTTTCTCTCTAAACTGACCCATGTAATGTTTGTTTTGGAGGCTTGCATCTCATCTTTCATCTGTGATACAGATGGCCCTTGGTTCTTCTTTGTATAACCGATACTTTCCTCCACATAAGTGTCTCAGGGTGCTGGAGAAGCACTTTGCTCTCATTCTTGCCTTGTATCCAATCTGATGGTTCCATCACAGTTTAAAATAACCAAGAACTAATAACAGCATGGTTTGTAAACAACTACTTTATAACCTGCCACATATACAAATGGCCCACCTGTAGTCTTCTGGTTGGAGGGAGCGGTATCCACAGAGATCCAGAGACGTCAGAGGTGTTTCTTGAACTCTGTCATACTTTCCCCATGGGGCTTATTGGACAGGAGGGAGGAGGTAGAGGTGGTATTTCCTTACCATAAATGCAGAAATGAGAATTCATGGGGTCTTAGGGAAGGAGTGGGGATCTAATGACTTAATCTCTGGTATAGACATCAGAATAAGTTTTTTATGAAAACAACGTTGTGAGGGGAGTAGTTAGGCAGCTTGGCTTGGCCACAGGTGAGTTAAGCTGGATTTTGGGGTTAGCTTGAGGCCCCAGCCACACTTTGAATGGGAAAATGGACTCTGAATTCAAAATAAGGAAAAAAATCTACATTATTATTGTTATCATCTGGTTTGGAAACTTAGAATTGCTTAATTTTATACATTTGGGATTAATTGCCTAGCCTTGCATTAATATTGTATAAAGTTAAGATCATAACATACCATTTCTGAACAGAACAGGTCACCTCTATCACAGCCAGTAGGTCCCCCATCTAAACTAGGTAGGCTTTTTGATCCTGACACCCTATCAGATATGAAGAGCATACACCCCAGCAGGGAGCCAGGATGAGCCTTTGGCCAGCTGACAAGACCTGTGAAAACTGGCTTTGTCTCTGACCCACCTGTGGGCTCTGGTGAACCCTTTGCTTTGCTCACAGAGCTGGAGTACACCCTCTGTCTGCTTGGCCCAGCCGGAGATGGCATATACCCGACACAGAGGCCTTCCAGCCAAATCCTAATAAGCAGGGCTGGTCTTTTGCATAAGACAAGCAGCTGCTGGCTTGAAGTGATTTGAAGGGTATTGACAAGCCTCCACTAAGCCTCCTAAATCTCTCTTTTGACTGAAATGCCATCATTATTAAGCCACAAAATACCATGTTGGGATTTTCTGGTAATTATTTCCCTCTCCACCTGGTCTCTTTACACGATGCAAACATTTAATTCTGGTCCAGCCACTTCCTAGATGTGTGGTTTTGGGAAAGTTTCTTAGCCCTTCTGTGCATAAGTCTCCTCAACTGTAAGATAGGAGTAGTAATAGTACCCAATTTATATGCTTGAAGTGAGGATTAAATTAGTTAGTACATGTAATTTAGAACAGCCAGCACTGTGTTTGCAGTTATTATTAAGTCTTTAGTGTTTGGGCACGAATGTGGTCAAACTGTATTGTCTCACATAGGGAAGCTTAGGGGAAAACTCAGTAGGGCATCTGGTAGTAAAGAGGGAGATGAAAGTGAGATAGCTGGAAAGTGGTTCACCATTTTCCAAGTCTTACAAGTGCTCTGTAACCCCCAAAGGAAACATTTCCCTTCACAACAGCCATTTCTGAAACTGGGAATAGTGCTGTGGCCGATAAGGCTTCTTTTGCACTCTATCTAAACCAAAGAATATCTTTCATGTCCCTTCTTAATTCATATATCTGCTTATGAAAGAAAAAAAGAAAAGAAGGTATTTATTAGCCAAATGGGACCATCTGGCACTCTCGTTCATGCCTTAATTTACTATAATTTTTATAATAACAAATTCATAGAATAAATGGAATCTGATTCCCTTTATGTTTTTAAAAGATAAGAGAAGATTCATTGAACAAAATGCACCACTATTAACCCCTCTTTCTGAGGCATTATTATAATGTCTAATTACTAAATATATTCACTTACAATTTTCCATTACCAAGTTGTAAAGTCTTACCTTAATAAATTAAAAATAAACAGTTCATTGAGGCTTTAATAACTTGGAAAGAAGGTGCCTAATATTAATATAATTACTAATATAATCATTGATATAATTATTAATCTGCATATGTTCACATCATAAATTTTTGCATATAAACATGTAAGTACAAGACACTGACTTTATGTGTTAAATGTGCCAATATAGCACATTTTGACTTTACAAAGATAGTGAATGTGACAGCCAGGAACTTAACTGAAGGAATTGGAAACATTTTCCTCCTTCATGCTTCTTTATTAAGATCTACCTACCTAACAACCATGGGAACATGTATAAGTGAGGAAACATTTTTCATCTCACCACTACACATATTGAAACACACACACACACACACACACACACACACACACACACACACACACACACACCACTTTATAGACTCATTAAAAATTTCTTTTGAAAGCCTAGCAAAGAACATTTTGCAATACCTGGTTCTCCAAGTGGATGTTTTACAGTTTTAATTATTGCTTCTAAATCTACATTTATAAATGATAAATGTGTGTGCATGATGAAAAGTAGTCAATCCCATGGCTCTGTACGTCGACCTTGAGAAACAATATTTTCTAGATACTTAGAACAGGTATAGTCTACACTGAATTACTTTATCATTTTGTGTGGGGGGCATGTTAGCCATTTCATCAGCACTGTACCAGATTAAAAGAAAATGACTACTATAGGAAAAACCATTATTTCTTAGTAGAAGAACAGCACCTCAGTATTTTATGTATCTACTCATCCCCTCCAATAAGCAATTTAAAACTGTTTCCATAAAGGACATGCCTACCAAGTAATCTGTTAGAGTTTGGAGATGCTTGAACACTTTCTTCCTTTAGGTTCTAAACAATTTGAAAACTAGACAACGGATGCAGACAGGGATTAACACAGAGCATCAGCTTTAATGCCCAAATGTCAAAGCTGCTGGTGGAGTTTGGGGTGGGGAGTGTTGAGGATAGGGCTTCGCTGGAGGCAAACATGCAGGGGTTTTTTAAATTCCTTTTCCCCAGAAATGCATTGGTTCACCCAGACGTTGGTAAAGAGAGCTCTGCCAGTCTCACTGGAGACTGTGTTAGCTTGAGTCCTTTAAGAATGACCCAGAGATGTTTATTGGGGAAAACACTTGTGAGGACAAATGGAATGGAGCTGCATGAGGCTGAGAGGGAGAGGAACAGAAGGTTGAGCAGAAGCATCTCAGACCTGAATACTGAACGAAGGCCAATTCTCCAGCTGAAGTCACCCCGCAAAGTCCCAAGTCTCCCAGGAAAGGAGTCTTAGAATTCATCTTGCACTCAGTCATTGGCTACGAGCAGCCATGGGAAGTGTGACCTCAGCGTGTTAATGGATGGATTTCAGGGCAAAGCAGCTGGAGCTGTCATTCAATTACCCTCCCTGCTGTAAACAGATCCAAGAGTTCTTGTGACTGCCATGGTGATCAAATGTTCCTCCAACACCTTTCTCCAGGGCTGCAGCAAATAGATGGAATGGGCTAACAAGCGATTTATTTTGTAGTAATAAGTTGAAGTTCTCGGAGCCACACAGAGTAACTAATCTCATTGTTTTATAGTTACCATTATATGTGTTTGGTGTGTGTACATTGAGGGATAGATTTGTCACTATGGACAACAGTTAACAAGTGTTTGTGTGCTCTTCTGTGCCAGGCAACAGAGGAACCACAAAAAATAGGATGTGGATTCTGCCCTAAAGCTGTGACAAAAACATGACAATCAGTGACAGGAAATTTAAAATACTTTCCAAAGCAGGAGGGGAGATCTGGGCCTCCTCTGTGGCTCTCTCCCATTCTGCCATTATTCAAAGAGGGTTTTCTTATGTCTGTTTCACTTTGTTTATGGTTCTGGAAGATGTAATTGGGACAAAGGCTGGCAGTTACTGCACCCCAAACTAAACTGAAAGTTCCTCGACTAAGTCATTGTTAGAACCAACCGTACTCTAACATTCTACAAATCTCGGCTGTCAGGAATACTATGATCATATGACACCACATCAAATTAAATCTTGTAAGATGCTTCTTGGAAACACAAATCTTTCTAACTAGTGGTTGTTTTTATTAGTTATCAGAGGTTGAACAGTGCTCCATTGTTTTCTAAGTCACGTGGAAGTTACTTATTTTCTTCTTCCAGCTTTATTCCACATTTTACTGTAAATTTTAGAAGATCTTATTGAAACTCTGATGCTCTCTTAACAACACAAGAGAAAGTTGTTCTGCTAGAATCACACTGACATTATTCTTGCTTTATTTATTTTCTGGTTCAGCCCCATGTCCCAGAAAGATCAAAATTATTTTCTTTTTGGTGAGTCGAATTTCTTCTCCTTTCTCTTCAGGGTGCTCCTCCCACTTCGGATGAGGAGAAGAAGCCAATTCCAGGAGCGAAGAAACTTCCAGGACCTGCGGTCAACCTATCGGAGATCCAGAATATTAAAAGTGAACTGAAATATGTCCCCAAAGCTGAACAGTAGCTGGAAGAAAAAAGGTGAACAAACTATTTTTTTTTGTCTTAAAAAGACCACTATGACATGGTTTAAGGAAGCCTTCCACAAAAGGGATCTGGAATTCTTGAAGCATTTATTGAGTACCAGGGTACTTCAATTTAGAACAGTATTTCTGGTACAGTTTTTCTGGTAAAGTCAAGCTTTTGGGTCTATCTTAATCCATAGCCAATCAGAGATCCTTTGAGGATGTTTGCCTGCCGTTCTCTTTCTGATCAACCTTCGTAGCTGAGGAAGGATGAAGTTGAGAGAGAAAAGATGCTTGGGAAAGGGTCTTGAGGAGATTTTGATCTTGGAGTCCAGGGAGCCCTCCCTCATTCCATGCCTCAGTTTCCCCACCCAGATGCCAAAAAAAGTGACAAGCTATTCCTGAGCTGGAGGATCAGAGGAACAAAGAGCTGAGCAGGCCTGTAAGTGTAAAAGGGCAGAGACTCAGGAGCTCAGGCCTTGAAACAAGTATCCCAGGTGTGTGTGAGGCAGACCAAAAGGACCCCCTAGTTAGTGACTCTGGGTGTGGATGGGGCAAGAATAGGCTCAAAACTGTACTTGCTGCCTGACAAGAAATTACAGCAGGGCTTGTGACCTTATTTTCATTTTAATTGCTTCCTTTTGATAATGATTCCCTGGTGAGGGCTCAGCCCACTCTCTATTGACAGACCTGGCTCCTGTGGACTGGCATGGAAATTCTGCCAGCAGGGTGAGTGTGGAATTGGCCCAAGTCATCATTCTTTCTCCTAGGAGACTCTGAGAGTAAATTAACCCTTTATCCAACATCACTAAAGCCTACAGTGCACAATCCATTCCATTTTTAAGCAGAAATTTAAGTCTAGAGGAGAGGAATCTATACTGGGAACATAAAACAGGTTTTTATCTGGTTAATTGTCCATTTGTTCATCTGTTTATTTGTTCATTCATCCATTTATTTGACCAATGATGTTTATTGAGTAGTCACTACATGCTGAACATTAGAAACATTTATTAATCACTTACCATGAAAAAGATACTTTGTGAAGAGCATTACATCCATTGTTTCTTTTGAGCCTCATGATACCTAATTATTGCTCTCATTCTTGAGATGAGTCTTAGGGAGACTGATTTTCCCCATCTATCATGCCTCCTAAAATAGGGGATCTGACTTCAAAGTTAGTGCTATTACCTGCTTGTTATATTGCTTTACCTCCTTCCTCCCACTGCACCTTACAGATGGATTGCACACTCCCTGTTGGTGTCTGGGTGAAATCTTCTGACGACATAGATAGCAGAGGCAAGCAGTGGGACAGATGGGGATCTACTGTGTCTTCTCCTGTAGACAGAATGAAGAACAAAATGTTCTGTGAGACAGTCCGATGCGTTGTGGCAATGTTATTTGTGTCACACTTACGTATACTGGCTTACTAGGATGTTTGCAAGTTAGTTCTGCTGAAAAGATTTCTTTATAGTCTAGAGAAAGAAATGAGCTGTTTTGAGTTAAAATAAAAGAACAGTATCTGGTGTTTTTAGCACAGTTACATAAAAGAACAAAGGAGTAAGAATAAAACACAGTAGATTCTGTGACCATAGAATGAATCCCAGGAACCTGGATGGGGACAAAGTAATGCAAGCAGGAACTGACGTGACATGTGGCTACACGCACTTGTTATTACTGACAGAATGAAACAGATTGGTGACTGTGTATCATACTCTGTCCTGCTAGTGTTGCCATGCTGAGATGAAATCTCCCAATATGTCAGAGATAAAGCTACAGAACTTCCTTGTGAAATAGCCTGGAGAAGGAAAATTGGCTTTTTGTAATATTTATTATCATCACCCAACCAAGGCTGTTCAGTTGGACAGATGAATTTTTAATGGAAACTTTAAAGGTTTTTGCTTGTATGAAATCCATGTTGACCTAAATTTAACCCCAGTTCCAGTTTCAGAATTATTTGGTTTTTAAGATTCAAAGGAATGCTGTTTAAAAATGTGCTCAGAGAGGATCTTGCAGTGTTACTTGCCAGTGGAGTTGATTAAATAGCCTTGGACGTGTGGTTACAGAGAACAGGAAACAATAGAAATTCAATAAAATATTGAAAAAGTACCAGAATACCCAGCACAAATTTTTGTTACTTTATTTTCTCAGAGAAAACTTTAATGATTCTTCTCTCCTGAACAAATTCTAATGTCAAATCACTCAGAAAGACCTATTTGTCCTTATTCTTACAGGAATGTGAAAATCTAAGTTGTCAGGGTAATTGATCTGAATTCCAAATGAGTACAGTAATTGTTTTAAGCTAAGGAATGATCTTTATTTCTTGTAGGAGAGGTAGTAAGCTAATTTGCTTTTGTCTCAACTGTTTTTCTCCTGCAAATATGTCTGAGATTTCTAGACTTCCATGGTCATGGTCTGTGCTCACAAAGGGAGAGCATTTCTTAACATTGATCAAATCAGTGGACTCATAAGTAATACATACCCTGGACCAGCCATCACTTAACCCTTTACTGGTTGGACTGATTTCCTTTGTCATCCGTCCTCAACTTGTATTGCCCAATTATTTGATCAAACAGATCATTGGTTTGAAGACTGAATAAGTCCATTATGCCCACAGTGTCATAGTGAAAACCATGAGACTCAAGGCTCAAAGTCTACATTATACTGTAACTATTACAGCTTTAGACTTATAAAGCTGAGTATCATCTCATTCCAGCGTAGATCAGTGCCACTTTTTAGGTGGGATTTCAGTTTTTTTCCATGTCCTATGTCATAGCTAGAATTGTTCACAGAAATCAATTAAAAACATTACAGAACAGGAACCAGAAAGGCCAATGACTAGCCTGTTAGAGATCAGAAATCATAACTTATGGAAAAGGATTTAGGGCTTAGACCCAGTCAGGAACCAGGCCAGGCAACTTAGAGACAGCACATATGACACCAAAATCAAAGACACAGGTGTGCTCTAAACAGGGCCCCAATTCAGGTTGGAGCTGGTATGGGGCAGGGAAGGTAGGATGTTCAGCCACATAACCCGTGGAATTCTCCTGGATGCAATTTAAGATGGCCAAATGGTGATTTAACAAAGTCCAAGAGCCAAATGAAGATGCAGGATTGGTGGCAAAGTTTGAAAATCAGGCATCTTCCAACATGCCCATGCCTGCCTATTTGCTGCATTATCAGGAATCTGGCAGACCCACTACCAGAAGCCCCCGTCAGGTTGTTTGTTTGTAGCTATAGTAGATGTCACCTCAGGCCTCATGGACAAAGATCTGGGGAATCTGGAGAACTGCTCAGGGCTGTTGTCCAAACAGACTCTGTTTCAATTTCCGCATCCTCCCAACCCTCAGATCAGCACACAGATGCTCAGCGAAGAACCCTTGTAACTAGCTTCTGTACCACAGTGCTTTCTTCTTTCTGTGCTAAAATGTGTAGATATAAAACTTCGTTTCCTCTCTCAAGATACTTATGTCCTGATGGAAAGATAAAATACTTCAAACGGTAGATAACAATTCAATAATTAGATGCTAGTTCAGTTATTGAAGCTTTTCCAAGGCTGATTCTGATCCACTAACAAGTAGGCACTAGAGATAATCAGTTTTATGACTTATGAGAGGGGAAGACACAATTATTTGGGGTCAGGGACAATTTCAAGGAGGCAGTGGAAAAGGAATGGTTTCAACCTCAGATATAGCCTCTGGGATATATAGAATGTCCAGGAGGGCATCATTAATAGACCAGCCTAGTGAGACCAAACTGCTTCTTAAACTTTTGAGCAGAGCAAGCTAAAACCCCACAACCCACCTACACCATTTCTTCTCTTTTTCCCATGGTAAAAGAACTCAGTGATATCAAAGAATTGGAGAGGAACAAAATAAGTATCAAAGTGGTAACAATGCAACAATTACAAGAAAAAGAAATGATTAACAAAGGTAAAATCTAAGAATAATCCTACAGTTATGCTAATGAGCACCAAGAGAATGACTGTTGTGAGCCTTGGGACTGATAAAGCTTAAAAAGAAATTATCATTCTTTTTTTTTAATCAATACTTTTTATTATGATTTTGTGGGGTACAGTTAAGGGTTAGGTGTACAATTACGTTTCATTCAGGCACCCTGAATGAGGTGTTTCCCCATCCCCAGACAGATATTTGCGACTGTTAATCCCATCCCCCCCCATAGTTTCCCAGTACCATCAGTCATTTTCTTATAGTGAAATTATCATTCTTAAGTTGCAGAAATTCCTTCTCTCTGTTGGACACTGCAGCATGGCCACGTGTTGTATGGCAGTCAGACTTCATGATTACATACTAAACTAGAGTCTCAGAAAAATGCAAAATTGTAGTGTTTCTTAGCAACTCACTTAGTAGCTTTTGGTCATATATAGAAGTAAGAAACATGTGGAATTAATTCCCATGTGCCATTAATAACTGAGGAAAGCACTTGCATTTTTGCATCAGAAAGTCTCTTGAGGTCAACCAGTGGGCCTTGGACCATACTTCGAGAAGCACTGGTGTAGGGCATTAAATGACAGTGAGCTGGAATGATCTGCAACTCCTTTGTCCTCTTTCACAGCCCTGTAATCTCAAATTAGTCTCTATCCCTCACATCATCAGCTAATCAGCATTGGATTTTCTGGATTTTGTAGATTTGAAAAGAATCATTATAATGCCCTGTTGGAGAAGGTGTACCCTGTCTTAGTCTGCTTGGACTGCTATAACAAAATACCACACACTGGGTGACTAAAACAACAGACATTTTTTTTCCTCACAGTTCTGGAGACTGAAAGTCTGATTATGTGGGTGCCAACATGGTCAGGTTCTGGTGAGCGCTCTCATTCTGGTTTGCAGATGGCTGTCTTCTAGCCATGTTCTCACATGATAGAGAGAGGAAGCTCTGATGTCTCTTCCTCTTCTCATAAGAGTACTAATTCCATTATAGGAACCTCACCTTCTTACCCTCATCCAAACCTAATTACCTTTCAAAGGCCCCACTTTCTAATACTGTCACATTGGAGGT